ACAATTGCTTCAAAGAGAATAAAATACCTAGGAATCCAACTTACAAGGGATGTAAGGGACCTCTTCAAGGAGAACTACAAACCACTGCTCAGTGAAATAAAAGAGGACATAAACAAATGGAAGAACATACCATGCTCATGGATAGGAAGAATCAATATCGTGAAAATGGCCATACTGCCCAAGGTAATTTATAGATTCAATGCCATCCCCATCAAGCTACCAATGAGTTTCTTCACAGAATTGGAAAAAACTGCTTTAAAGTTCATATGGAACCAAAAAAGAGCCCGCATCTCCAAGACAATCCTAAGTCAAAGAACAAAGCTGGAGGCATCACCTACCTGACTTCAAACTATACTACAAGGCTACAGTAACCAAAACAGCATGGTACTGGTACCAAAACAGAGATATAGACCAATGGAACAGAACAGAGTCCTCAGAAATAATACCACACATCTACAGCCATCTGATCTTTGATAAACCTGAGAAAAACAAGAATGGGGAAAGGATTCCCTATTTAATAAATGGTGCTGGGAAAACTGGCTAGCCATAAATAGAAAGCTGAAACTGGATCCTTTCCTTACTCCTTATACGAAAATTAATTCAAGATGGATTAGAGACTTAAATGTTAGACCTAATACCATAAAAACCCTAGAACAAAACCTAGGGAATACCATTCAGGACATAGGCATGGGCAAGGACTTCATGTCTAAAACACCAAAAGCAATGGCAACAAAAGCCAAAATTGACAAATGGGATATAATTAAACTAAAGAGCTTCTGCACAGCAAAAGAAACTACCATCAGAGTGAACAGGCAACCTATAGAATGGGAGAAAAATTTTGCAATCTACTCATCAGACAAAGGGCTAATATCCAGAACCTACAAAGAACTCAAACAAATTTACAAGAAAAAAACAAACAACCCCATCAAAAAGTGGGCAAAGGATATGAACAGACATTTCTCAAAAGAGGACATTCATACAGCCAACAGACACATGAAAAAATGCTCATCATCACTCGCCATCAGAGAAATGCAAATCAAAACCACAATGAAATACCATCTCACACCAGTTAGAATGGCAATCATTAAAAAGTCAGGAAACAACAGGTGCTGGAGAGGACGTGGAGAAACAGGAACACTTTTACACTGTTGGTGGGATTGTAAACTAGTTCAACCATTATGGAAAACAGTATGGCGATTCCTCAAGGATCTAGAACTAGAAGTACCATATGACCCAGCCATCCCACTACTGGGTATATACCCAAAGGATTATAAGTCATGCTGCTATAAAGACACATGCACATGTATGTTCATTGCGGCACTATTCACAATAGCAAAGACTTGGAATCAACCCAAATGTCCATCAGTGACAGACTGGCTTAAGAAAATGTGGCACATATACACCATGGAATAGTATGCAGCCATAAAAAAGGATGAGTTTGTGTCCTTTGTAGGGACATGGATGCAGCTGGAAACCATCATTCTCAGCAAACTATCGCAAGAACAGAAAACCAAACACCGCATGTTCTCACTCATAGGTGGGAACTGAACAATGAGATCACTTGGACTTAGGAAGGGGAACATCACAGGGCCTATCATGGGGAGGGGGGAGGGACTGCATTGGGTATTATACCTGATGTAAATGACGAGTTGATGGGTGCTGATGAGTTGATGGGTGCAGCACACCAACATGGCACAAGTATACATATGTAACAAACCTGCATGTTATGCACATGTACCCTAGAACTTAAAGTATAATTTAAAAAAAAAAAAAAGAAGTGTATCTCTGGCTGGGCGCAGTGGCTCATGCTTGTAATCCCAGCACTCTGGGAGGCTGAGGTGGGTGGATCACCTGAGGTCAGAAGTTTGAGACCAGCCTGACCAACCAACATGGAGAAACCCCGTCTCTACTAAAAATACAAAATTACCCAGGCGGGGTGGTGCATGCCTATAATCCCAGCTACTCAGGAAGGCTGAAGCAGGAGAATGGCATGAACCTGGGAGGCAGAGGTTGCAGTAGGCAGAGGTTGCAGTGAGCCGAGATCGCACCATTGTACTACAGCCTAAACAACAAGAGCAAGACTCCATCTCAAAAAAAAAAAAAAGAGAGAAGAAATGTATCTCCTTCAGTGTTAATCTCCTTCAAAAATGAGTATCAAGAATGTAAACATTAGGAACATTACCAAATACTCTACTCCTTTTATTATATTTATATATCCAACTCATAGCGGCTTTTATGTAGCCTTTATTATATTTATATATCCAACTCATAGCTGCTTTTATGTAGCCACAACAAACTATAGTAGTGAGCCTTAGTCCACATGCTTGCTAACCAATATTACACTAAAACTATACACACAGGACAGGGAGAAACAAATGAACATAAGTCAATTTAGAAAACAGTGATTTGTCCCTTCCTGTCATATCCCTAAAATATTAATAAACTTCCAGTCTCTCCACTCACCACAACTTACATCTCTCCCCATAACTTACCTCTCTCACCATCCTCCCTTTTTCTACTACAAGATTCTACCCAGGGTAACCAACGCAGGTGCAGGTTTCTTGCTGAGTGACTTTAAAGATGAAAGTCTCAATGGGAAAAACTATGGTGTCTATGACTCACTCAATGATAATCACAAAGCACTTGAACATCTATTATCACTTCTGTCCCTTATAACAGTCCTGTTAAGGGAACAGGGTATCACTATTTTCATTTAGAAACAAAAAACTGAGGCTTCAAATGTTAAATTACTCACTGGATTCACAGAACTAACCAACTGACAGTTAATTCACAAAATTAAGTGGCAATGGTAGAATCTCTTACCCCACATATCTCTCTCTTATCACTCCATGGCAAAAATTGTCAATAGTTATTTCCATCCTTGTTCTCCATAATCATCCCATTCCATACCAGTCTATAATCAACTATGTCACAGAAACTGTTCCTATCCCGATTAACGGTCTCCAGGTGCCAAATCCAATGTCCAGTCATCTGTGCTCTTAGCTGTCTTCTCAGCAGCATTTGACCAGGTGATGACTTTCTTCGAAATGTTTCTCTCTTGGCTTCCTAGACACTATTCCTGGTTGTGCCTCTGCCTCGTTGGCTGCTCCTTCTTTCTCCTTTGCTGGTTCCTCCTCCTCCCAGCCTTGACATATTAAACTGGCCCAAGGTTCAGTTTTCAGACCACTGTCTATTCTCACTCTTTAGTGATCTCACCTAGTGACATTGGTTGACATTCCTTTTGATGCCAATGATTTCCAAATGGGTATCTCTCTCCCAACCTGCCCATAAAACAGGAGCTTCCACCCATGTGCATGGAGGTGCTCAGATAACCAACTCCAGAGTTAATGTTTCTGCCTGCCACAGGAAGCTTATCAGAAATCCCCTTATCCAGTATGATAAAAGTTTGGTTAAAATTTTTAAAAGTTGAAAATTCTCAGTCTGAAGCACAGACTCATTCAAAAGAAGAAAAAGATGTATATCTTACACATATTCTTTTTATTTAAAAGACAAAGGGTCATTCTATTTGTCAATCTCTTCATAGAGGACCAAAGCCTTTTCTTTGAATGTGGGTCCACAAATAAATACTCCATATCATCTTTCTTGCATAAACTATAACACAATGAATTGTCCCATGATTTCAAGTGTCATTTTATTTTAAATAGAACAAGAACATAAAGACACCAACAAAGCATTCTAAGTACAGAATGCTTCTATATTTTTATTATTGTTCTCAATCTTTTATAACAGGCATGCCCATATTTAATTCTACAGCAATTTTTCATAAAACAACTCTGCTTTTCCAAGTTCGTTTTCAGACAATTCTCTTAGTTTTCCAACAAACTCTCTTTTTAAACTCACTACTCATCAGTTTACGTGAGACAATGAATTATGTAATAACAACGATTAAAACAGCAAGCAGAATGAGGATCTTGGTGGCATATAATTCAAATGAAAGGAACAGAGGCGGATGATACACCAAAATGTATTGTATTAGCTCTGGATATTTAAGGTGCTATTGGCATCAAGTAATAGGTTTTATGGTGAAAACGGAAAGCACTGGTCAATCTGAGCCCATTAAGTTGGAGATGGGTTAAAAAAGTTACTGATTTCCACTGCCTACTTCTACCACCAGAAAGCCGTATTTCCCCAGCTCTACTCTTTTAGTAAATGGCAAATATCCAACTGCTAAGCTAAAATCCTTAAATCCTCTGCTCAGCTAAAACCCTTAATTCCTCTCTCTTACCAATAACTAAGGCATCAATATTGTCTTTCTAGAAACCTTCAAAATATTTTCTGGATATATTCACTTATCGTTATCTCCATCCCTATCACCTACAGTCCAACGTGCCATAATCTCCAAACTGTAATGACTTTGTAACTAGTCTCCCAACTTCTATTCTTACCTCTCCCCTGGACTGATTCTTCACATAGTAGCCCAGGAAGAACTTTGCAAAATGGGAATGAGACAGCACTGTTTCCCTACTTTAAACTCTTCAATGGCTAGCCACTATTCTTGAATAAAATTCAAACTCCTTGCCATGATCTACCAGGTCCTAAAGGAGCTAGCCCATACCTACTTCCCCAGCTTCATCCCATACCATTCTCCCTTTGCTCACTGCTTTGGGCACACTGACTCTCCTCTCCATTCCTCTAATATGCTAAAACTCCCACAGGGCCTCTGCACATGCAGCTCATTCTGCCTGGAACACTCTTCCACTGACTCTTCATAAAAGCCACTCATTTTTCAGATGTCACCTCAAATGTTATCTCCTCATAAGCGTCTCCATTGATCATCCTATTTATATGCTAATATGTCTCCTTCTGCTAAAAGGTAAGGTCTCATTAGAACATGAGCTTCCTCCATCTTGTTCACCATTATTTTCTTACTATCCAGTTCAGTACCATTTCCTGAATGGAAAAATGAACTACTTGAATAATTCCAGCTGAAAATATTCTCTATGAGATGCAGTGAAATTTCTATACATAAAAATCCTAACCTGATCTCCGCAAAAAGAACGGTATGAGAATTTCACAGCAGCTTCATTCGTAATAGTAAAAAACTGGAAAAAAAAATCAAATGTTCATCAACAGGAAAACAGATAAACAAATTAATGTGCATTTATATTAGGAAATATTACTCAGTAATAAAAAAGAATAAATCAGTAATACAAAGTCTAATAAATGTTTTTTGTGAAACAAGCCAAACAGAAAAGAGTACATTCTGTATGATTCCATTTATATAACGTGCAGAGCAAGAAAAAGCATTTATTGTAATAAAAATCAGAACAGTGGCTGCCTACAAGTTGAAGACTAACTGGAAACAAGCACAAAAGAACTGGAAATATTCTATAACTTGATAGGTGTATGGTTTACATGGGCATATACGTTTATAAAACCGATTAAATCATTTACACTATGCAAATTTTATTACAACTTTTTTTTTTTTGGAGACAGGGTCTTACTCCATCACCCAGGCTAGAGCACGGTAACACGATCATGGCTCACTGCAGCCTTGACTCCCCAGACTCAGGTGATTCTCCCACCTCAGCCTCCTGAGTAGCTGGGAGTACAGACATGCACATCCAGCTAAATTTTTGTACAGATGGGGTTTTCCTTGTTGCCCATGATGGTCTCAACTCCTGGGCTCTAGTAATCCACCCACCTCAGCCTCCTAAAGTACTGGGATTGCAGGCATGAGCTACTGGACCCAGCCTATCATGAATTTTTAAAAAGGCAAAAAAGTCCTAAATTCATTCACTCGCACATCACATCCGATGTAGAAACCCAAGAAATAGACTATTCACCATCATATCAAGATCTACTTATTAATTTGTTCATCTGCCTTGTAAATTCTTACTCTTCGCAGGCAGAAAATTAAAAAGGTTTGCACCAAACTGAGTGTCTTGTGGCAACACAGCAAGAAAATATCTATCACTACAAAAGATGATGAATTATGCATTTATACATAAGCAAACCATATAAAAGTATGACACAAAGGACAAAACAGTATGTAAGCCATTACAGAAGAACTAAACAATAAGGAATATTGATGAATGCTAAGGTACATCAAATGACTATGTGACCTGGGACACCCATCATGAGTTGTGTGTTAAGGAACCCCTAAGCCACAGGCAAGAATGCTGTAGTTTTCAACTTCTTTCTATCCTAAAAACATCTGAATACAATATGTATATTTTCTTATACTCTACTCCCTAAACAGTCATGTTAAGAATCACTATATAGAGCTGTAAGAACCAAAACAGTAGCCACGAGCCAAATGCAGCTATTCAGAAATCAAAACGAGGCAAGGACAAATGGAAAGCTGAATTTTTAATTTTATAAAATTTTAATTAATTTATAATATATTAAACTATTAGAAAGATTTAAGTATACCTGTAATAACTTGGAATGTAAATTTACTATTTCACAGTAAATTTTTATGAAATATAAATACAGATCAAATATTTCTAATAAAAATGTAGTGTTATAATTGAGATGTGGAAAATTTAAACTGGTTATGAAGACTTAATACTAAAAAAGATCACGTAAAATAGCTCATTCATAAGTTTTCCCTGATCATATTTCAAAGTTATATTTGAGATTCACTGGTTTAAATATATTATTGAAACTAATTTCCCTTGTTTTTTTCTACTTTCTTTTTCTCTTTTATGAGCCTAATATTATGAACATATTTTTTTTTAAATGTAGCTACTGAAAAACTTTAAAGTATATACGTGGCACACACTCTATTTCTACTGAATAGTACTGTCCTAAAGCTTGTATCTAAATGCAGAAGATACATCATTATGATACATTAATTTGAATATTTCAAACATCTCCTGACCTTTTCACTTGATTGTCTTCTTTTCTTTAGTTGAATAAAATCTGTTTCCACCCTTTCTGCCAGCTCTAGTTTCCTCTTGTTTCTTTTAAATGCAGCTAAACTGAATCCTATAAAATAAAATAAAATAAAAAACATTAAATATAACATTAAAAAATACTAGGGCAATGAGTCAAATAAGATAGCTGAAGAGCCTTCCCGGAAGAAAATCCTTAAGAATGTTAAATTAAGGGTTTAAAAAGTATTTTCAAGGTATACAGGGATAGTAGGAAAATAAGAGAAATAAACTAAGTTTTTAAAATTAAGAAAAAGGTCAAACCCAGAGAAACAAAGGAGTCCTGAAGGTAGACACTACCCTCTCAGCATCTGTTGATGCATGCCTCCTCCAACTGTGGTTTTAAAGGTCTCTGCGCATAGGAGGTAAGAGACGAAACTTGGGCACAATGCAGTACGAGAAAACACACTGGAGATTATCCACAAAGAAAGGAGAGAGTCTCAAAGGTTGATATGCCCAGTGAATAGCAGAATGAGAAAAAAAGTCACCAGGCACCAAAACATAAGAAAAAGTAAATAAAACATTTTTTAAACCAGAAAACTTGCAAGTCTCAGCTTTGGTTCTAGATGTAAAGAGGAAACATCTCCCTAGAAATTTCATGACTAATGAGGGCATTTAGATAGGCTTCGAGTAGAATTCTTATTACCTGTGAGACCCCAGGGTAAAAAAGTGATCTCAGTGTACCAGTGCTTCAAAGGGCCTCCAAACACAAATGCAAATACTCCCTAGAAAAACAAACTGGCCTTAACTTATCCAGACCTCAAAGAACCCTATGTTTCAATCAACATGTGCTCATAGTTTTAAAAGAAAAATTCACAAAACAAATAAGAGATAAACTACCAAGAATAAAAGCCAGCCAAATATCAGAAAGCATAATCTGAACCACAAAAATCTCAGATACTGGAATAATCAGATAAGAATATAACATATGTTTATGCTCAGAGAAATAAAAGAAATATATCAAAAATAGGATTAAGCAGCAAGATGATAAACTGACCAGGCTGAATTGAAGAATAAATAGAGCTTCAATCCATCAATAAATAAAATAATCAAAATTTTAAAACTTGATATATAAATTTTAACAGCCAATTAGATCCAGCTGACAAGAGAAATTACAAACTGGAACATAACACTGACAAAGTTACTGAGTAAAGTTTTCTGATAATGGCAGACTAAGTTATGCAGAGTAATTATCCATGGAATATTCCTAAAAATGTTGGGTAAAATATTTAAAATATCACCTTAAAAGCACTCAAAACTTTACAAGTACTAAGCTAAATTCTTGGGTAAACTGTGGATTATTGCACTGTGAACATTTGCCAACACTAGCACACTTGCATTTGACTAAATGGCATCAAGGAGAGGGATACATCAAGCCCAGAGCCTACTAAGAGTAGACAGTTTTATAGGAGACACTCCCCACAATAAACTGGGAATTTAAAGGGCTAATTCTCTTAGAGTAAAGCTAATCCATAACTAAGTCCATTACTCCCTCTATCTCAAAAGCAAATGCATGCAGTCAATATTGTCCCAGATTATAGCAGAGCATGAGACTAAGAAAAGATTGGGGGAGAAAACAGGGAGAAGGCAAAGAAAAAGAAATAAAGTATTTGAAAGAGGTGGGGAAAGAAAACTATCTCTAAGAAACTTTTGGTCTCATGGGGCCCTTGCATAGATTTGCAAATACACACACTGTACAATCCCAGAAGGAAAAGAAAGAGAGAAGGAGAAGATGGTTAACTTGCAGAAATAGTAACTGAAAACTTGCCAACTTTGATGAAAGATATGAACACCCAAGACATAAACACCCAAGAAGCTCAAGGAACTCCAAGTAGGAAAACTGGGAGAGCCATACCAAGGCACATTACAATCAAATTGTCAAAGACCAAAGACAAAGAGAGCATCTTGAAAAGCAGATTATCACCTACTAGGGATCCTCAATAAAATTATAAGCAGATTTCTCATCAGAAACTTTGGAAGCCAGAAACAGTGGGTTGATATATTCAAAGTGCTGAAACAACAAAAGCATCAACCAAGAACCCTGGCTGTGGCCAAACGGTCCTTCAAAAATGAGGGGCAAATTGAAATACTCTCAGATAAACAAAAACTGAGATAGTTCTTTTCTACTGGAGCTACCCTGCAATAAATGCTAAAGGAAATCCTTCCAGTTAAAATGAAAGAACCTTAGACAGAACTCAAAGCTGTAAATAAACAATGATCTCTGATAAAGATAAATACATGGACAACTGTAAAAGATAGTCTTATTGTAATTTTGGTTTCTAACTATGCTTTTTGTTTTCCACATGATTTTATTTATTTATTTATTTATTTATTTTTTGAGACAGAGTCTCCCTCTGTCGCCAAGCTAGTGTGCAGTGGCACAATCTGGGCTCACTACAACCTCTGCCTCCCAGGTTCAAGCGATTCTCTTGCCTCGGCCTCCCAAGTAGCTGGGATTACAGGCACGCACCACAACGGCTGGCTAACTTTTTGTATTTTTAGTAGAGACAGGGTTTCACCATGTTGGCCAGACTGGTCTCAAACTCCTGAGCTCAGGTGATTTGCCCACCTCAGCCTCCCAAAGTGTTATAATTACAGGTGTGAGCCACCATGTCTAGTTTATTTTCTACATGATTTTAGAAACTAAAGTATTAAAACACTATCAGTCTGTTTTGGGACAAACAATGGGAAAAGATACAATTTTGTAAAATAGGGTTGAGATAGAGCTGTATAAGAACAGAATTTTTATTTGTTATTGAAGTTAAGCTGGTCTAAATTCAAATTAGAATGTTATAATTTTAGAATGTTAAATGTAATCCCCATCATAACCACAAAAAAAAAGCAAGACAATATACACAAAAGAAAATGAAAAAAGAACAACGCAATAAACCAAGTAGATCTAAAAGATATAAACAGAACACTCTATTCAACAATAGAACTCACATTCTTCTCAAGTTCACTTGACATATTTTTCCAAAATGTCCCATTTGTATGTGAGCACAAATCAAATCTCAATAGATGTAAAAGATAGGTATTGTACAATGTATCTTCTCCAACTGTAACAGGATGGAGTTAGAAATCAATGGTAGAAGAAAACTGAAAAATGCACAAATTGTCAAAACTAAAATACAGAAAGAAATCACAAAGGAAATTAGAAAACGCTTAGATGTGAATAAAAATTAATACACCAAAACTTACAAAGTGCATCAAAAGCCTTATGAAAGAAAAAATTTTAGAGCTATAAACACATTTAAAAAGAAAAAAAGATTTCAAACAACAACCTAGCTTTAAAACTTAAGGAACTAGTAAAAGAAGAATTAAACCCAAAGCTAGCAGAACAAAGGAAATAAAGATCAGAGTGGAGATAAATAAAATAGATAATACCAAAAAAAAAAAAAAAAGAAAAACAAATAAAACCAAAAGTTCATGGAAAACATTAACAAAATTTAAGATCTTTAGCTAGATTAAGAAAAAAAAAGACAAATTACTATAATCAGAAATCAAAGTGGGGACATTACTACTGATTCTTCAAAAATAAAAAGTATTATAGGCCAGGTACAGTGGCTCATGCCTGTAATCCCAGCAGTTTGGGAAACCAGTGTGGGTAAATCCCTTGAATACAAGAGTTTGAGACCAGCCCGGGCAACATGGTGAAACCCTGTCCCTACAAAAATACAAAAAATTAGCCAGGCATGGTGGCATGCACCTATAGTTGCAGCTACTCTAGCGGCTGAGATGGGAGGATCGTCTTAGTCTAAGAGGTCAAGGGTGCAGTGAGCCACGTTTGTGCCACTGCACTCCAGCCTGGGCAACAGAGCAAGACCTTGTCTCAAAAAAAAAAAAATTATATCTCTATATACGTGTGTGTGTGTGTGTGTGTGTGTTGTGTATGTGTATATGTGTGTATGTATGTATGTATGTGTATATATATGTGTGTATACATATACACGTGCACATATATATATGCATATATGCACACACATATAAATAAGAGAGTTCTATGAAAAACTGGGTACCCAAATATTGGATGACCTAAATGAAATTAACAAAGTCCAAAAACACAAAACCTACCAAGACTGCATCATGAAGAAACAAAATCTGAATTAACCCATATCTAGTAAGGAGACTGAATCAATAATATAAACTCTCCTGGCAAAAAAAAAAAAAAAAAAAAAAAATTCCCAGACTTCATGGCTTCACTGGAGCATTCTACCAAACATTTAAACAATAAACACCAAAAAAATTAACAAAGAGGAAACATTTCCAACGTCATTATATGAGGCCAGCATTATCCTAATACCAAAACCATACAAAGACACCATAAGAAAGCTACCAACCAATATTTCTTACGAACGTTGATGCACAATTCCTCAACAAAATACTGCCAAACCAAATGCAGCAGCATATTAAAAGGATAATACACTATGACAAAGTGCAATTTATTCCTAAGAAGCAAAGGTCGTTCAACATATGAAAATCAATGTTATACACCAACATTAACAGGATGAAGGGAAAAAGCCTTTTAATTTTTTTTTTTTTTTTTTTACTATGTTGCTCAGGCTGGTCTTGAAATTCTGGCCTCAAGTGATCCTCCCACCTCAGTCTCCCAAAGTGCTGGGATTATAGGCATGAGCCACCCCACCCAGCATGATCATAAATGGATGCACAAATAATCATGTTACAAAATTCAAAATTATTTCATAATAAACACACCAAACAAACTAGAAATAGAAAGAAACGACCTCAACACAAAAAGGCAAAATGTGAAAAGCCCACAGCTAACATCATATCTATGGAGAAAGACTGAAAGCTTTTCCCCTAAAATCAGAAACATGACAAGGATATGTACTTTCACCACTTCTAGTACTAGAAGTCCAAACCTAATATTAGAAGTACTGGAACTAGAAGTCCTAGAAGTACTGGAAGTCCCAGCCAAGGCAATTAGGCAAGGAAAAGAGGTAAAAGCCATTCAAATTGGAAAGGAAGAAATAAAATTATGACTTGATCTTATACTTGGAACATCCTAAAGATCTCTAACCCCACCCCCCAACACAA